TTTCAACTGTACTTTTATCAGTTTCGCTTACATAGCTATTCGCTCGGACTGTAGTGTAGTTATTGTTATCGCTATGTACCGTTAAATGTTGTCACAATTATTATTTTTTATTTCTTGCTTAATCTTCTTCCACTTCTACCTCCTCTTATTCTGCATTTTTGTTTACCACTCTTTTCTGCCAGTTCTTCCGGCGGCATTCATGTTATGCTGCTTGTCAGTTGGGTGATTTTGGGTGGGCGACTATGATTGTATACTCGTATATGTATATGTGTATATGTGTGTAGTATTGAGGTGCTGTGATGGTGTGGCTGGTGCACGGCCGTCTAACGCAGCATCCTTTCACCTATTTATTGTAGTGGTTGTTGGTTGTTGGTTGTTATTGTTGTATTTGTTTTCATTTTATGCCATGCCTTCACACAACTGTCAAAAGTCGGTTAACCGATGGGTGTGTTCTAAAATGCGCAAACAGGTCGAGAGCAATCACAAGAGGTTTCTTTATGCGAGCGCATATGAATGTATGTATGTACTTATGAATGTGTTATTCTGCATTTTCTCATAAGCTCAATATTTACTCTCTTGTCTCTTTCCGTATTTATACCGCTACTCAAAGCTCTCACTTTATTATAATTAAATTTTTTTTTATTTTATTTTACTCCATTTTATTTTACTTTATTTTACGTAAATTTACTTTATTTTAATTTGTGCTATTGTATTTTATTTCATTTTATTTTATTTTTTTTTTATTTTATTTTATTTTAATTTATTTTATTTTATTTTATTTTATTTTATTTTATTTTATTTTATTTTATTTTATTTTATTTTATTTTATTTTATTTTATTTTATTTTATTTTATTTTATTTTATTTTATTTTGTTTTATTTTTGTTAGTCGCTCTTTGCCTCTCTCTCTCTCTGCTCTTAATACCTAAAGTTCCTCTCTCAAAGTTGCTCTCTTTAAGCTTTATATTGAAAGAATAATACTTGAGCTTTCTGCTCCCTACTCTCACACGAATAGCGCAGCTTTTCGCCCAATTATCAGCATCAAAGGTCAGCCAACCATCTACGTTAGCTTTCACACACATTTGCTGTGAATAAGTAGTTAGTGGAATTGACAACAAATGCAAGTAACTATTTATTAGCAGCAACAACAACAAACTAAAGTTAAATTATACAGTAATCTTGTATATCTATCCCTGCACTCAAAATCATACTACTCTCTACGCACATGTTGTAAAAACACTTGTAAATAAGAGTACATGCAAATCTGGTAATACATATAAAGAGATGTATGTATGTACGGGACTTTGTGTATGTATGATGGCAAGTTTACTCATGTTGCATGTTAAATTTCCGTTAGACTCATTGCCGCCACAATGTCTTCCGTTTTTGTTTTACTTTACTACTTTCCATTGTTCCTCACGAGTCTCCTCTTATCCTTTAAACCGTATCTACGCTTGGTTGTCTGTCCATGCAGTGCGTTGTGTCTTTCAAAGCATGCTGATGACGCCGCCACTGTTCCACTGCTCCTGAGCGTCACAACAAATCAGTGCGATAATGCCGAAAGCATCGCCATCAACGCGTTGATTGAAATTTAAATATTCATGCCAAAAATTTCGGTCTGACTGACTGAGTGACTGAGTGAAATGAATTGAATGGTTTGTATGTATGCATGGGTGTGTGTCTCTCGATGTGTATGCTACCCACAGCTGTTCATACGTATGTAAGTCTATTAATTGTGATTGTAAATGCAAATAAATTGGCTCATGTTTCCTGCTTTTCCGAGCTTGTCAGTGAGTTTGCTTGTTTGCACGCACAATTACAAACGAATTCATTGCCCTCTCCCGCCGTCACATAGCCGCTTATCTCATTCGCTTTGGATAACATCGTCTGCAGTTGCGCCCATCGTTGTATCTACTAATTATCACAGTTACTTTTAGTAGCAAAATTTGGTTGAATTTGTGCTGAGGCGCCGCCAAAAAACATATTATTTAACAGCGCCACAGCAACAACGACAGAGAACAAAAACAACCAACTTGTTTGTAATCAGAATGGAACATGAAAATTAGTAATGGAATTAAATTTCAATTCAATTTAGTTGTCGAAATTAGCAACAACAATGTTTTGATGAGGACGACAACAGCAGCAGCAGCTGAGTCGAGTGAGTTACATAAGTATGTATATAATATAATATGTACGATATATGTAAAGGAATTACATGAGCAACAGGATGCAGCCGGCGTAGAGTGATAAAAATACAAACAAACCTTTTGTATATACATGCATGGAATATATATAAACAAAAGGTTGATAACATATTCATATACATATACATATACATCATATGGTCTCCACTCTAGTTTCGTATAATTTATCGGTTGACATTCGTTTTTATTATACTTTGTTTTTGTGCTACTTAGTCCTTTTCCCTTTACTTGCGTACATATTGTACATACATATACAATGTTCAGTTGCTTCATCACTCCATGGCGTATACGTAATAATTAAGTTATGTAAATGAACAGCTTTAAATTAATTATACGCACTGGTGGCCAACAATGCTCGTCCGGTTAGTTGAGTGCGTTATTTATTGTTTTGACGATCATTGAGTATTCGTGTACATATGTATATTTATTAGCTGTTGAATGTTTACACATAAAAATTTGTTAACAAAATTTATTCAATTTGTGGCTCTAGTGCAAGCTACATACCTACTTATACTTTAAATTATTTTTAATTGATTCATCCAAGAAATTTAATTATTAAACCATATTGATTAGAAGTGTGTACTGCTATTCGCCAGGTGAGGATTCGAACCCTGGTACGGCCAACATTCAAAATTATTTAAAATTTATTTTTCCAATTGCGGTCGCCTCTCGGCGTGGGTATTTCTCACAAAAATAGAATTCCCTCATTAAAATCCATCGACCGTTCGGACCTATATTCCATGTTGCAAGCGGAACTCGGTCGAAAATTACTTTAGTGGTCATAAAGCGAACATACATATTTTAGGTAAAGTAAAAGATTCGTTTGTGTTCGGAACCACTTGCATAACCTTGAATTTAAAAAGGAGCTCGATGTTTGGGTGCCACACGAACTAATGCAAAAAACATGATGTACCGAATTTCCATCTGCGAATCGCTGCTGAATCGATGGTCACTTACGACAACATCGAGCGCAAACGGTCGTGATCAAAGCTCGGGGAAGCGACCCAGACGTTGGCCAAAACCGAATTGAGAGCCAAGAAGGTTTTGCTGTGTGTTTGGAGGGATTGGCAAGGAATCATCTACTACGAGCTGCTCTCCAATTGCCAAACGCTCAATTTGAACTTCTACTCCCACCAAATGGACCGCTTGAAGACAGCACTCATCCAGAAGAGGCCATCTTTGATCAACAGAGGCCGAATTGTGTTCCATCAGGACAACGCCAGGCCACACACGTGGTGACGCGCCAGAAGCTCCGGGAGCCCGGATGGGAGGTCCTAATGCACCCACCTCATAATCCGGACCTGGCTTAATGGTGAGAAGTCGGCCTCAAAAGAGGTCTGTGAAAATTGGCTCTCCGAGGTTTTTACCAATAGGGACGCAGCAACAAGTTTACGAACAAAAGGATATAATTATACTTTCTTTTATCGAAATCCGGTATATATGAAAAAAAATTTCGGAATGTGGATCAAAAACTGACCTATTCAAAAATATAGTATTTATGGTTCGATTTACTTGAAATTCGGTACTCAAGTGGCTTTCTGCTCAGGTTAGCAGGAAGAATATTCTCTTTTACGGGCGGTGGACTAGAGACTGACCTAATCGGGAAAATCGTAATTCTGGATCGATTTACTTGAAATTCGGTGCACAAGTGGCTTTCTTCTCAGGTTAGCAGGAAGACTACTCTTTCCTGACCCAATCGGGAAAATCGTAATTCTGGATCGATTTACTTGAAATTCGGTACGCAAGTGGCTTTCTGCTCAGGTTAGCAGGAAGACTACTCTTCCCTATGGGTGGTGGACCAGGGACTGACCCAATCGGGAAATACGTTTTTATGGTTCGATTTACTTGAAATTCGGTACGCAAGTTATTGACAGGAAGACTACTCTTCTCTCTATCAAGGTCATCGGAGACTTTCTTATTCAAAAAAAATTTAATTTTTTTTTTTAAAGTATACATTTTCGTGACTCGTTTTAGTTAAACTATCCTTCTCAAGGGGATTTTCTTTCTCCACTTTTATGGGTAGTTGCGCTGAACTTTATACTACTTCAACTCAATAGAGAAGGAATGAAAGTAGTAGCATATGCAGACGACATAGTACTGCTGGAATCAGTACCGGTTCCTTCCACAAGCAGTGAGATTCTTAAAGAACGTTAAATCTTTGGGTCGCAAAAACAGACTGGGTGTTCAGTCCAGTAAAACGGAATAGAAAATATAAAACCTGAATCTAATCTTCCCTCACTCAGTGGTACACAAATTTCATTGTCCCTAAATATGTGTGTGTGGAGATCGGAACAAAACTGAACTGGAAAATGAACATTGAAAATCGAATAAACAAAGCTTATTTTTCATACCACACTTCCAAAGGAGTAGTTACCAAGAACTCGGGTCTTAAAGCGAATATTGTCATGTGGAGCTGTCATTGGACCAATCAATATATATAGAGCGCTGGGGTTGTTACTACCATTACCACTCGGAAAGTAGCATTTAATTCTGGGTGATTTGAACCAAAAGAGTTCTGGACACAGTGATATCCGGAGTCACCTAAAATAACTTTAAGTAAATCAGAATAAATCCGCCCGAGATAGGTTTTTAATAGCTCCTTTCAGGTGAGGATACTGTTTAGACGGCAATTGAGGTGTGGTTTATTATGGGAGGAGGTTAATACAACGATATTGACATCCCTCTCCCTGTCCCTCTCCCTCTCCCTGATTTTGTGGCATAAATACTCTAATTTTTAATTTTTTTTTTGGCAAAATTCAACAGTTTATTTTAAACACTTTCGATATATAAAAAAAAAGTCATTTAATTGCAATAATATAAATTTCTTAGTCCCAGAAATTATTGAGGTAAATAAAATTAAAAGACTTAATTTTTGCTGCGTGTTTCTATTATTTGGCACTTAAATATTAGAAATTCAAATTTTCAAGCAACCTGGCTCTTGCAATTCTGGTAAATGTCACAAATCCCCTTCCGTCACCACATCATGAGTTAGATGCTCAAAGTTTTGCGAGAGCACTTGCGACACTACACAATCGGAACATTGATTTAGGTACATATAACAGGTGTTACAACGCCAAATTAACCGTGAAATAGCTGACACGCGACATTTCTCACATAGAGGCGCTAAGGGATCTGGATTATATCCTTCGGGTGTGTTCATTTTTTCTTCTTTTACTTTATTCAATATTTTCAACACACGTTCACGATCTTCTTTACTATGGAACACTGGGCAGGGTGCAGAAGCTTCCGGCACTGTTTCAATCGAATTATTACGTGTTTCTATTGGTTGAGGTGAAGTTGCCGTTTGTAAATCATCCAATGAGAAATCATCATCTGGCATATGAACGGGCACATTAAAAGCTGGGAAAAATGTGGTTGGACGAAAGAAATGTTTGGTTTTTGATTGACCACCACGACGGTTTTTCGGCCGGCGGCCGGGTATAGGCAAACCAGCATCATGGAGTTTTTGAAAATATTTTTGCACTCGGCTGCAAACTTGTTGTGGTGTGCGATTACCTAAAGCTTTGGCAATTTTCACATAACGTCGACTTTCAATTGCCTCTGCGGGATATTCGATAAGCAGTTCCTCGAGACGACGCTGTTCTTCACAAGACCAAAGCTGTATGGAAAAGTATTATATTATGAATATATCATTTTTTGTTACTAATTAAACGTACTTGATTGAATGTCTCCGGCTTAGACTGATCGACAACTCGACCACGCACCGTTGTTGGTTTTATATCGAAGTCTGGCTCTTCCTTCACTTTTATATCGATGTTTGGTAGAATATCTAAATTTGTTTTTATTTCCGGTAACTTTACAAAAATGAGAAGTAATAGTTAGTTTGCAGTTATAGTAATTACGTTTTACAAAACTTACCTTTTCTATAGTCATATAGTTTGGCGCTATGATGGCCTCATTATTTCGTAGCTTTTTTAGCAGTAAGTCGGGATCATCTAAATAACGCTGTTTAGCCAGCTCCAATTCGTCTATCTAAAAATCTAACTTTAAATATTTGTTATCATATTTAAAAACATGCATTTCTTACCTGTTGCAGAAGGCGCGTTCTTTGAACTTCCAGCGCAGCTATCGTTCGTAACATATTCGTGTAGTCCGGATGACCACGTAAAGCTAAATGATCACTTTCGAAGTAGAAGGTACTATCCTCATCGCAGCTTTCCTGTTCACTCATTATTACTATATTTTAATTGAAGTTCAATTTAACAAGTATCTGTGGAAATATACACACTTCTTAACTATTGATTTACATCGGCCAACGCGAAATCAGCTGTTCAGTGCAAAGTTGCACTGCATTGCCACGTTGATGTTTTATTGCAGTTTGCACCGCTTTATTGGCAGCTCGTACTAATCGGCGGAAACGAAGAATAAACTTCCGTAGGAGTAAAGCTTTCGAATCTTTAACATTCATTTTGTTAATTAGGATATATATAAAATTAAAATATATTCATGACGGCTTTTTATAATTTAATTATGTGATGGAAAATATTTTTTTTCGGTTTCTTTATATTAAAAAGGGAAATGGTAGTTTGTTTTGAACTACCTACCTTTTCTATAGCCATATAGTTTGGCACTTTTTTACTATGACAGGAGGCGCTTTCAGAGTAGAATGTTTTATTTTCATTGCAAATTTTCTGTTCACTCGTTACAATGATTATAATTTAATCAACGTTTAATTTAGCAAGTTATTTCCAGATATACACTTGTTGTGTCTTATTCTGAATTTCAGTTTACACTGCTTTATTATTAGTAGTTCGAAGTTCGTCCAATCACAAAAACCACGAAAAGTGCAGTGTATTATTCTCGTTGCAGTTATTCTGTTTACTCATTATAATAATAATATTTTGACAAAGTTTAATTTAGCAGGCTATTTCTAAATGTGCACAACTTCCTGCGTCTGATTCGGAATACTGGTCATCAAACAATGGGAAATCAGCAGTGTAGCGCAAAGTTGCACATCTTTATCGGCAACTGCCTTACCATGTGGTTGTACTTCCAGTTTACTGCTTTATTTGCAGTTCGTATCAATCGACGGAAACGAAGAATATATTTCCGTAGAAGTGAGACTTATAAGAATTTTTGTGTTTAATTAAAAGTAAGAATTGGTAAAAAGATCCAAAAGTGAAAGTCAGTGGTAAAATTAAAAAATAATGTCTTTAAGAAGTTCATAATAACAAAGTGACGGCATTTTACTCAGTGTGTAAATAGAGAAGTTCAACGAGACGAACGACACCTTTTCGCCACAGTTTTTTCTTCGTTTAGAAATATATCTGTAACAATGTAAGTTCAACATTGAATTAAGGAAAATGAATTAACGTTGCCAACAGAATCCGCTTTCTAATTATCGCTGTAAGAAATTTCTAAAGAATCTAGCTGCAAAATCTCTAAAAAAAAATTGCTGTGCTTAGAGTTCGAGACCCTGCACTTAATCGCACTGTAACCCATTAAGCTATTGAGGACGACTTCGAAACCTTGGGTTCCTAAATTAAATTAATTATTCTTTTATCTCTCTTAAGCCAAACGTAAATTTTTCAATTTTAACATATAATTATTTCTTTATTTAATTAATATTCACTTTAAAAACTCCAGGACAACGCACTACAGAATAGTCAGAGACTTTCTACGATACTTTCATACTTTCTCCACTTGTTCAACACCTTTCAACTCTGCTTTACTTTCCGAATTTACCACCTGCTCAGTAATTTTGGGCTCCGACACAGCTTCCGCTTTCTTTTCATTTTCCGCAGATTCCGCCGCAATTTTATTTGCTAACTCAGCTAAACGTTCACGTCTGTAATCTTTGCGTGCTTCGTCTAGCAAAACATTATGTATTAAATTACGATTATTTGTGAAATCAGTCACCAAAGTAGGATATGGATTGCCACGCAATTCCAATACGGATTTTCTATAATACATGCCGGGATAATCCCGCGGTGCTTTATACAGGCGGGTATATGAATAATTACAGTTTTCCAATCGTGGTACTAGCACCTTGAAAAGTTTATGTACCAATTGTTTTTCGAGCAACCAATAATCAGCCAACTCCATTGTGGCTTTGTGACGGTCGCCGTAGCGTATAGCGTTGGAAATTAGCTGTGAATGCAAAGAAAATTATTAATTATAATTAATTAATTATAATTTTTAATAATATTAACTCACCAATTCAGCATAACCGCGCGCTTCATCCGCTCTGTTGTAATATAATTCTATGCGTTCATGTTTCACCAGCGCTGTAACAGTTTTTCGTAGTTTCAGTAGACGTCCTTCGGGTCCATCAGGATTTCGGAGATTACGATGTGGCTTGACAGCAATACGCAATTGCGACATCAATTTACTCACATCGGCCTGATTCATATTGGTAATTCACTTAATTTAAAGCTTTATTATAGCAAAATATTTGGAAAACAATAAACGCCGCAAAAGAAATCAAGATTTTTACGTAAACAGTGCAATGCGGCGCTGCATGAGAAAAATGTCAAATCAAAAACAGCTGTTTGTTGGGAAGTAGTAGATGAGCAAAAAGTAGTAGAATGGAAAATGTTTTAAAATTCCCAGGGTTGCTTATGAAAATGATTTTATGTCTTAAAAGTAAAATAATAAAAATTTATTATAATTTTCCAACAAATTTCATGGTAAAATTTGAAGAAAAAATTTACTAAAACCATCAAATGGGTTCATTTCAGTAAAATTTCAGATTGCTAAGTGAGGGTTTCAACTCAATATTCAGTAATGTAATAAAATATAAAGAAGAGTCTACAAGAACTTATAATAATTAGAATAATTCAAAGTTATCTGGGGTTTATTCATATATAGATTAATAATTTTTATCAGCTCGGTGCGAGAGCTCAAAATATGACAAGAACTCAACGTGATGAGGTATCACATATGACTGGCATACCTTACCGTGACCAGGCGTTTGTTCCCTTTAATCCAAATTAGGGCGTAGTAATCAGAGCCAAGCACTAAAACCTTGGCTTTGCTAGGAAGGAATGTAAAGTTAAACTACCAGAACAAGTTAATGGCTGTCACTTCATCATTTAGAAGAACATAGATGTGTACGATTATATACAGTAATGTGGAAAATTACAACAAATGCGCGTCTGCTGCACGGACGAGTTAACTCGCTGAGAACAGTTGCTAAAAGACGAGCTCGGCACCATACCACTGGCTTCCTGCAAGTAGACTACGAGTATACTAAAATACCCGCCCATTCAGCTGCGGAAGCATTTTACGCAATATCAAAGTAGTAATAGAGCTCGCCATAAATAAACTTCAAATAAGTCTATTTCAGTTGATTACTAACTTTTACCATTTGCTCCGACGCTCGCTGCGAACATTTACAGCCAATCCTTTAATGCTAAGCCACAAAACGCATCGACTGAGTTCGATTACTTGCCACAGGTATTTTATAGCCGGCAAACACTCACTGTACCACAAACATACAAACAAACTGCACGGCTAAGCAAAAGGAAAAAGAAAAAAAAACACGCTGAAAGCGAGAATGATAAAAAAAGAGAAGGGTAAAAGGAATGTGTAAGAATTTTTACTAACGCCGGAAGCCTGTGGTGCAGCAACAAATCCTTTTAGGTCAATTGCATTGGAATTTATTGCATTCGCTTGTATGCATGTACATATGTGTATGTGTGTATGTATGTGCAATGGCTTTTATTTGTATTGGAAACGCACAGCACGTAGTTATGGGCAGCAGCAACAACAACAACAACAACAAATACAATCAACGCCCCAGAGGTATTTTTGTGCATTTTACGCCCCGCTTGGCCAATAAAATGCAACACTGTGTTGAATGGTTGATGCGTGGACCGCCAATATGTGTGTACATCCATAAATATGTATGTATGCATGCGAGTGTGTGAGTGTATCTGTTACATTGAGGTAGAATTAAAATGGAAATGCTGGAAAAAGGCGTAAAGTAAATGAATATAAATGCATAAAACGGCAGGCAAGAGTGTTTGTATGTATGTATTATATTTGCAAAAGTATGGATGTGTGTATGTGTGTGTGTGTGTCTGCACTCGGCTGCATAAAAACACTTTCGAACATATCAGTTTGGTTGTAGTTGTTGTTGCTGTGTTGCAACTTCATCAAGGTTGGCATGCAATGTAACGGCGCTCTCGCATGTACATATGTATGTATGTATATACTATTTGCAATATTTGTTTTACGTTATACGTACATATATACACCCGGGAATAAATGAAAGTTCGCTGGGGAGTCTTTGCTGCTTGGAAAATATTTTCCTATACTCCAGAGCACATTTTCATACGGCACGAGTTGAATTGAAATAGACTCTGAGAAACCGGTAGGCTGTTTTATTCTGCAGGCGAGCTTTAGATATTCGAGCCTCGTTAAGCGATAAGCAGATAGTGAAGTAATTTTCGAGCTCAGTATGCTGTGAACATACATAGTCATGTATGTGTTAGCTGCTCTTGGGCCAGTTGTTATGGTTACTGTAAAAACACCGGAGGGTAGGCTACATATACAAAGTTTTCTTGGGTCGCTACGAGACGAGCGAAACGAAATACCGTCGGTGTGGTGAGAAGTAGCACACAACCCTACATTTCGAAGAAGCGACGAGATCGTGGTGCCGGTTGGGCAAGAAGAGGCACCACATACTCTGAGACGGAGACCAGGGCTCTTCAACTAGACGTGGGCAACAGCTGGATGAGTCCGGAGCGGAAGCCCACATACTTAAAGGGGAACGGAAACTCGGGGAACGGACAACGCCTTTCTGACACCGACGTGATAGCATATTTGGATAACTGCCTAACACTATTAGGAGTGTGCCCTGGCGAGGACAAGCAAACAACCATAAACTACCTTTTGGCAACGCTGTTGCTCCAACCGCGGTCATCAAGGTGGTGGCTAATGGACGCCTTCATTTAGTTCGGGTGCCCATAGATGCATGCGCTCCAACCTCTGTTGCATCGGCCGATTTGGGTTGTTGTTGTTGTTCTAACCTCAAAATATTGTTCGAATTGGTATTCGGGGAATATTTCGGGTGTGGCAGACCCGACTGTCCCACGAACTATTGGATTTTAGTCGCCCCTTTCGACAGGTATGCGTTAATACGTCAAGGGGTTGCCGATTTGTGTTACGATCTACGATTGTAGAAAACATTTGTGGGTGTATAATAAAATTTAAGGGTGTGCTGAAGTGGATGTGAGGGAGCGGAGGTCTCGAAGCAGGTAGATTTCTATAATAAATGCGTTTTAATTCGAGTTGTTAAGAGGTTATGCGCTATATTTCGGACTCGAAACGTAAAAAGTCAGCTCTAGAGAAGATTCATCGTCGCATTGAGAACTATGGATTTTAAATTGAAAAGTGCCGACACCCACCCAGCTGTCCTCTAAAATTTTAAGGCTGACATCCGCGCTGCCCGAGGAATGCTGTGGGTGGCACTAAGGCGGTAGGTAGGAAGGTATCTCCCTGATGCCACTGAGGGAAGCACGAAGTGGACCAATGCGTCAGGCAAAATCAAAGGTAGAGACATTCCCGTGAATGCACCATCCGATAAGCCGGCGCTAGGAGTTTTTGGGCGAAAGATTTTTGGACCCTTAAGGCGTATGACGGATACCGTAAACGATGAAACAATGAGCTTTCGGATGAAAAGTTGTCGAGGTTAAGAAACCAGAAAAAGTATACTTCCATATCAGCAGGTAGGGATGGACCAGCTTTCATTTGTGTCTTCTATGGGCAGCGAAAGACGAGAAGAAGAAGCGCGCTATTGTTGAAGGAGGAAGGAGGAAGTAGAAGAAGCTCAAAGGGAGTGTTACATCGAGTGTAATTGCAAAAGTGCAAAATCATTTGATATCGAACTGTCATCTATCGCCCCAGCCGCCTCTGGGCGGTCGTGCGGCTCGTTTTTTTTTCGTCAAGTGGTCTTAAAAGCTAGCTAAATTTACAATTTGCAAAACACTTCCTCGATTTGCACTACAAATGAAAATGACTAACACAACAACAACAACAATAAGAGCAACAATCACGTAAACGTGAGATACGCATCGAAAAATGGAGAAAAGAACAAAAATCTAAGGGAACAAATTGTATTGTATTTGCCAGCAAATAGCTAAATATACATGTTTGCATGTATGTATGTGTGTATGCATGTGCGTGTGCATTGTGTTGCCGTGCAACGCATAAAAAGCACATACACAAATTTGGCAACAAATTCTACACGGACGACACAGTCAAGTTTAATTTCTTTTCACCAAACTCCGACTGCCTCTGCTCATCGCGCTGCTGCTTTTGCAGTTGCTGTTGCTGTTGCTGTTGCTTCATCTTCATCACACTACGCTTGACACGTTGCTTCGTCATGCCTGCAAAGGAAAACCGTTTCTTTGTTCATGACCATGTCGTTTGTTGTGTACTCGTACGTTCGTACATACATACATACGTGCACACACACATACTAGTATGTAGGTGAGGGCAGATGAATCATCTACAAAACATCAAATGTGTTTACTACTAGAAAGTTAACAAGTACAACAATAAAAACAGCAACAAAAAACGTTATTGTATATCTTCAACATCCACTTGTGCTCTTCTATAGTACATGCATGCCAATTTACATATATACATATATGTATGTACATTATATGTGTATTTGTTGGAACTTTGTAGCTTACTTCCGTTGTAGACCGGAAATGTGGCTGCCATGTTGTGTTGTGCAATGTGCAATGAAATTTCTTTATTCTCTTTTCAACTTTTTCGTTTTTTTTTTTTTTTTTTGGTGAAAATTCAGAGAGAAAGTGCTGAGGCGGGCGTAACGGAAGTTGTGTAGTGATGTTGCACTTTTGATTTGTTGAAACAATAAATTTTACTAATTGGCGAAGATGTATGCGTTTTCTTGGCTGCAACTTGAAGCGTGTCTGTGTGCTGGTTGCTGGTTGCTGTGTGTGTTTGGGATTTTGGGAGCTGATTTTTGAGTAGAAAACAATTTTCAAATGCAATGAATAAGCAAATTTCTTAAACTGAATGTATACTGCAGGGATGCGAACAACAACAACAAACAAGAATAACAAAAACAACAGTAGTAGCAGCAGCAAATGAAACAAAACAAAGGCAAACAAAAGTCAAAAATTGTTGACAGATATTCTAAGCTGTTTGTGTTTATTGATATATGTATGTAGATATGTATGTATGAGCTTATGTACGTGTGTTGTAGCTAAAAAGTGGCTGAAGAGTTAGAAAGAACTAGTAGTAAATATTTAAAAATTATAGAAAATATACGTAAGTGTATTTAACATTTTTTATCCATTATTTTATTAAAATTTTATTTTTATTTTATTTTATTTTATTTTATTTTATTTTATTTTATTTTATTTTATTTTATTTTATTTTATTTTATTTTATTTTATTTTATTTTTTTATGTTATTTATGTTTCTTAGTTTCTGTTTAATTTATTTATTTTTATTTGTTTTATTTGAATTGATTTTAAAAATATTTTATGTTAGATATTTTATT